AATACCATTTAAGAACCCATCATTCCCCCCAAATAAGAAGGGGGTACTTTGCTTTAGAAATGAACTTCAAATTGCCCCTTTGCTAGGTTTACAGTGCTTGAAGAGGGAAGACCACTATTAGATCTTGTCCCACGAGTATCACTTAGAGCTCAGATAAGGCTTCTCTTCCTGTTGGCCCAGTTATGAAATATATTCGACTTACAGTAATCTCTATTGACATTTTCATTGATCAAGAAAAATCAAAGGGATAGAATGAGTAAAATCCAGATTATTATGTGTTGCTTAGGACAAGGAAAAGGTTGATTTTTGTAATGAGCTTATGTTTTATCCAAAATTTCCCCTTTCTGTGCCCAGGGCTGATAGGAAAACCTACTATTGTCTGTCCGTTTGCCACAACCCTTCAATAAAGGCATAACATTGTTTACCTGCATGTACCTACATTTCTGAGAATTAGCAAAAGAAAGCATATCTCCTTATCTCCTATACATTCCCTGTTAAGTTACTTCAAAGAAGCCTTGGCCCCCTGCAGATTGCACTCCCTCAACTGAGAGAAATGAATCCCTATTTGTCCGCTTTTATCAGTGGTCATAGATTTGAAAATATTGTACCTCTGTAACTATACGCTTTGTAATTTATATAACTTTTTATATAACTACTAATCAATACTGTGGTAGTGAATGATGTTTTACTTTGCAACAGGCTATTAACTCCCTTACTCTATGGCAAGGCTATCCAACTATTCAGTTTGGTGTTACTGATAACACTGTAAACTACCTTTTCGTAGTGGGCACCAGGAAATGCAGACCATAAATGTTACTGTTAACAAAATGTAGCTGCAACTTTAGTTCTATGCTCTGTCAGTCATGTAGAAATGTGTACAGGTGCCAGCAACCCTAAACTTATACAAATGAACTGTGAAATCTAGGTAGAACTATTCCATAAATACCAGGAGCCAGAATTCGAATTCAGAAATAAACTTCTTTCTGCCAGTTCCCTCTTGATTTAGTGGTGTTGAGAAACAGCAGCCGAGCATTTACTCAGACCATAACGGGGTCACTGTTAAGTCCATACAGTGCCTACTTGTAGAGACGTGTCTTCTCTGGATGACACTGTTCTCTGCAATCATGGTTTAGCAAACGGAAAACACCTTCATGCCACATAAGGCATGGTGAGCAGAGGTGGGCTGGTCTTCAGCGCCCACGGTTTCCATGCTCTGTGTCTTGCACAGGGCTTGATTCCAACAGCTGTGTGGAGCAGCCTTGGTTGAAACCCAAGTCCCACTTTCCGCTAGAAAAACCATGTTCCAAAGCAAGAGTAGGTTGTAAAAAATATCATCGTATATATATCTACACAAGTACACATTTGTTATCTTAAGTGACACACAACTGGTCAAAAGTAGCAGATATATATATATGAGAGACCCCTACAAAAAACCTCCAGAATTTATAAAAAACTGTGTATTTATTCTTACATGCTTAAACTTCAGTCACCTTCAAAGTACTCTGATGCAATACACCTATGGAAGCACTGTTTCCACTGCTCAAAATAGTTTTTGAACTCATCAACTTTGATGCCTTTTACTGCTTCTGCTGTGTTTTGTTTAACCACTTCCACATTGGCAAAAACCTTCCCTTTGAGGACGTTTTTCATTGGGGTAACAAAAAGTAGCTTGGGGTCGAGATCAGGTGAATAGGGAGGGTGGCACCTGGGGAGGTCACTGTAGTTTTTTGGTCAAAAACGGCTAAACACTCAGCATGGTGTAGGCAGGTATGATGTCATGGTGGAAGAATCAGTCACTTGTTTGCCACAACTCCAGACGTGTCTTCTGCAAATCATGCTACAATCTTCTCAAAACTTCCAGATGAAAACTTTGGTTGACCGTTTGATCTGCAGAAACAAATAAGTATACTACAAGGAGCTCCAAAAGATAATTCCGATTTTTTTGGAGTCATCCTTATATTTACTCTCTTCTTTAAAAACATTTAAGATGGCTGGGCTCGGTGGCTCAGCCTGTAATCCCGTGCTTTGGGAGGCTGAGATGAGTGGATGCCTAAGCCCGCGGGTTCGAGACCCGCCTGGGCAACTTGGCGAGACCTCATCTCTACAATAAATCAAAAAATTAGTTGGGCGTGGCAGCGCGCACCTGTAGTTTCAGTTACTTAGAAGGCTGAGGTAGAAGGATCACCGGAGCCCAGCAGGTCGAGGCTGCGGTGGCCGGGAGCGGCCACTGGACTCCAGTCTGGGTGACAGAGCGAGACTCCAACTCAAAAAAAAAAAAAATTAAGACAATAAAATACAGAAAACCACAGTATTGTTTGTAAAAATGAATTTATTAAAATGCTCATAATTATAAAAAGAATATTAAAATGCACAGAAATTAACAAACATTAATTACAAACTTTACATCCTATGCCACGGTGTATGAAAAGCATCATGAATATTTCATTTCTACTTTAGTCAAGCTGTTCGCACATTTAACATCTCAAATATCTCATAATATGAACATGAGAAAATGGGATAAGAAGTGTTTTAACAACAGAGCCCATTCTGACCCCTATTGTGAATTAATGTTTTATGAAATTTAAGACGCATGTGCAATAAAAAGACTTTGGTGACCAACAGTTGACACGATGGCTTTTAGTTTTAAAATAAAAATGACAGCTTTCCCTTCCTAATGACAAAGGCTAAAATATCTGAGGGATGTTTAAAGACAAATCCCCTGAGTATGTGGTCTAATGTTTCCACTAAAATTCACAGGCATTACAAAAGGATATAAAGCTAATATTTCGCTAGTGGTTAACACTGGTCATGTCAAGGGCCAGATTCTCCATCAATTCCCTGGGAGGCTACTGTGTCACACTCCCACTTACAGAGGCAGCCACTGTCATCTGCAGACACAGCCTCAGGTTCTTCCTCATCCCCACCAGTCAGCCTTGGGCTCACATCAACACTGTGGATGGCATGGTGACCCTGGGTCTCCACTACAGCTTTGCTCTTTTGGGCACCTCAGCAGTGTCACATGTCACACTTGATGCCTTTTTTTTTAAATGAAGAGGTTTTTTTCCCCCCCTCTTGTCCACAGCAGCACATTTTATACTATAAAGAGGATTCTCTCCTCTGGGGCTATGAAAATATTATGCACATTTCTTTTGAAGTTTTATCATATATACAAGGAGATAAGGTAAAAACATTTCCTTTTCTGTGCTGACATTAACAGCGAGTTACTGCCCAATTCAAACACCAGGAGATAGGCACACACTTCAGAGGAGGAGAGGTAAGAGAGAGGAAGCTGCACCCACTTCTGGGACCAGTATCGTGGATGTGAAGAAAGGACAGTGGCACTCCCATCTTGGCTGTGCTGGAGGAAAAACAGTTTCCTCCGGTGGGAAGAAATTTGTTTCTCCGTCCCAGTGCGTCAGACCTCATGCGGCCTGTTTTGGGCACTCTCTGTATTGCACAATTAACATGATCAAGAAAGACAGTGAAATGTTGTCCCTGACCCACTGGGACAATTCAAAAGCCCAGAATACTGCTTTGATGAATCCTACATAAATATTGTTTTTTTTAAAAAAAGACATTCATGGCAGGCACTTAAAATTGTGATCTAGAGTTAAGCTACTGTAGTATATATAACAAGCCTCTAAAATCTGATTACCAAACCGTGTTTCACTTTCCTCTTCTGCTGGGATGCTGCTAGGTTGACTCCTTTGGCACCTGAGCATTTAACAGCATTCCAGTGGGTGGAGGCCCACCCGGCACCAACATGCCACAAATCACCTCCTCCTTCACCCAGCACTGACCTGGTACCGGGCGGGGCATGAGAGGTGCTGGCTCCGTGTCTTCTCCAGAGCTCCTGACACATAAAAGGCAGTAGAGTGGAGTAGCCTGCTAGGCTGAGCAAAACTGAGGGGGCTGGATGTGCACAGTGGAATGGAGGAAATCTCGAGATAATGATAGTGTTTGTGACCAAACCATTTTCCTTTATTGCCCTAAACTGCCTGATTAGCCCTAGAGGCTGGAAGTTCCAGTCTCTTTTCTTGATTCAGTCTCTTTTCTTGATTCAGAATAATCTGGGTATTTTCCTGCCTCTGGTGTAATCATACAATTACAAATGAGTTACTGGGCCCAGAATAAGGGGATGGAGGGTGCCAGGAAACCACATTCACTATGGCAGATGCTTTGGTATGCTGACCACTTTGGCATATAGAAATAAGCCAAGTCACGCAGACTCCCTGACAAAAGGCACACAAGGACCGCAATTAGCGTGGTTCACAATTAGTGCACTTGCTGTTTCTGACCATACAAAACATCATCATGCCACAATGGCTGTTTGGCGAGCCATTCATGAAGGCGCTTGGTGATGTGTAATACTGCACCGCCAGCATCTAATGAATAAAAGTCAACTGGTAGGAAATTGATGGGATTATCTTTTCTAGGCCGTTATGTTGATAAAGATATAATTTTAATCATGTGATACCATTTCCCCCCCAAGAAACTACACATCTTTAGAAGAGATAAATTAATTATCCAGATCAACATGAGTTATAATTCTATTTGAATCTGTAACTTTCCCTACTTTTGTCATCTTATTCCCTTGAGATCTGCAAAGCAGTCAACATTGATTAGGCACAGAACATTCCAGGAGCGCTCCTGGAAGATAAAAGGTGTCACTGTGGATTAGCACAAATATGCTTCAAAATCTTGCTATCTTCATTCTAATCCACTAAGAGTATTTCTTTGGGATGGAAAGACAGGCCAAAATGAAGACTGAAACTATTTCCTCTGATTAACGGAGGTTTCCTTTCTGCAGGTATATGATAATACACCTACATTCTGTGAATTCTTGAGTCTATTTGCCACTTAATACAGCATTCAGACTGAATCCCAAGTTAGCTATTTTTAATCACATGGAACTATTAAGTCTCTAATGATAGTAAGGAAAAGACAACTCTGGAACAGATCTGGCAAAGTGAAGAAATGAAATGCTGACTAAAAATAAGGGAGATCATGTGCCTGAGAATAGAAAGAAATGAAAGTAATTCTGCTTTACAAGAGGCGGTTTTTGAGCATACTAGGAGACGTTTTCTATATTACTAAAATTCCAATTTATCAAAAAAAAGTAATATTTTAGGTTTTCCAGGTGATTAGTTTTATGCCCTTCTTGATCTAAGTTTTACATTTTCCGGTTCCTGCATCACTAGCTGAAACTGAAAAAATAATATGCATGGAAATGGCAAAAGTTAAGACTCATATTTGCCAAAGTGATTTAACTTAAAGATTCTCATTAGTGATTCATAATATATTTTGACAGAGCTAAATTCCTTAAAGTGCTTCTCAGAACATAAAGTTCTTATTCTAATTTTGGTCGAAAATTGTTATCCACTGCTTCAATCATCCTCTCCGCTATAACGCCCATGTTTTTTGTCATATCTTTGAGGTGACTCTCGTGAAGTAGCTTTTGGGTTAGGTATTTTTCTCTCTTGATCTTGCTTTTCGTGCGTTTTGATACATCGGGAATTGCATATGAAATGAAAAATTTCACAGAGTAGATGATATGCTAAGGGAGAGAAGAAGAAAAATATCAATCACAAAGAAATGGAGAGGAACACAGGGTTCCTTTCATGCATTCTTGCTAGTCACTATGGCAGTTTTCCTGGACAAGGCAGTGTACATTGCATACATACACCCACTCCGTGATGCCATCGTGTAAAATGAATGGCATGGCTACTTTACACATTTAGAAAATATTTGATATGTAGAAAAGAGTATATCTAATATGTATACACACACATTAGTTATAAAGGATAAAAATAAAATGAATACCAAAAACCTACCACTAAAATTAAAAACAAGGACACTGACAATGCTGTGGTATTCTGTGTGCTCCCTGTGCTTCCCCCAAAGTAAATACTGTCCTATCTGAACTACTGTTATGTGTATCATTCTCTTTTATTTTTTATTTTGGTAGAGTGAAGCAGGTCTTTTAATATCGTTCTTGCAAGAACGTGTCTCTTGGGTGAGCTCTTTTCTTTTTCAAACAGTTTAACAAAATATATATCTCTCTAAAAGTCATGTCTGATTAGAGTTTTATAACAGTATGATACTGTATGTAGCCTTTTGAAAATTGCTTTTTTCATTCACAACTAGTTTCTAAGAAGCATTAATGCTACTGTGCGTAACTAGTCCATTCATTTTCACTGCAGTATAATATTCCACTGTGTGGCTACACTATATCTGTCCCCCTATCAACAGCCATTGAGCTTGTTTCCATTTTTGATATTAGGAACAATACTGCTGTGAATATTATTGTGCTTGGATATTGCAGAGCCATCTGTAAGAGTTTCTCAAGAGTATAAACCTAGGAGTGGAAATGCTGAGACCCTAGGTCATGTGAATATTCAATTTTACAAGATCAAAACCAAATTCTTCCAAAGCAGTTATACCAGCTTACACCCCCATCAGCAGTGTGTGACAGTTTCAGTTGTTTTATATCCTTATCAGCACTTGGTATCATCAGACATTTTTAAAAAAAAACCAACTAAGTGAAATGAATTTTATTCATTTTAGTCTTACTTTGTACTTCCCTGATTATTAATGAGGTTCAATATTTTTCATTTTTTTAGTCACCACTTAAAAATATCTGGCCTAGCAAGGGGATAGAGACAATATGCAATAAACATAATTAAATTAAACATTAAAATGTGCTATAAGCCAACTGTAAAGCAGTGTCAGAGGTACTGTGAATGCTATGAAGAGTGTTTTGTGTAGATTTTATATAGATTAGGCTGGATGTGCTTGATTGAGCAAAGACTTGAAGGAGGCAAGGGAAAGAGCCATGCTGGTGCCAGGAGGAAAGACCTTCTAGGAGAGGGAATAGCCAGTGCAGAGTCCGTGGGGCGAAAGCCTCCATAGTGCATTCCAGCATGGCAAGGCCGCAGCAGAGTGTAAGGAGCAGAGACGTGACATCAGAGAGGCTTTGAAGTGGCTGGACTGTGTGAGGCCTTGTAGGACACTGAGGACTTTGGCTTTGGCTCTGAGTGGTGGAGGAAGACAAGAGGAAGCCCATTAGGAGACTTGCCCTAATTCAGGCAAGAAATGATGGTGGCTCTGACTTGGTAGTAGCAGCAGAGTTGGTAAGTGGGTAGTGATACATTTTCAAAGTAAAAGCCAACCAGATTGCATGTTGGGAAGAGAGGGAGAAGGAAAGTGGGGAGGAGAAAGGCGGGGGAGAGGGAGGGTGGGGAGGGGAAAGGGGGAGTGGGAAAGGCGGACAGAAGGGAGAAGCAGGGGGAAGAGGGAGACAGGAGGGGGTGGGGGAAGAGAGAGAGATACACACACACACACACACACACACACACAAATAAATAAACAAGAAGGGATCCAAGTTCTCTGGTCTGAGCAAATGGTGAGACGGAGCTGCCATAGCCAAGAGGGAAAGACTATGGATAGAACAGATTGAGGACTGGATTTTGGAGGGTGTGGAGGAAAATATAGGCATGTGGGGCAGTAGATTTGAGATACGTTAGCTTTCCAAGCAGAAAGGCCAGGTAGGCAGCTAGATTCATGGGCTGAATTGGGGAGAGGGGTGCTCTGGAAGTATCCATCTTTAGGTTCACTTGGCAGAGAAATGGTATTTAAGCTGATACACTTCAGATCACTGAGAGAGTTCTTAAGAAAAACCAAGGGATGAGTCCCAGCATCATTAAGAGAAGAAAGGAACTGGCAAAGAAACTAAGAAGGAATGGCCAAAGGGGTAGGAGGAAAAGAAAGAAAAAGTGGTTTCCTGGGAGCCCAGTGAGGGACTTTCCAGAAGGAGGGAGTGACCAGCTGTGTCAAATGTTGCTAAGTTTGGTAATGTGAGGGCAGAGAAGTGACCACAGGAATCTGCCAACACGTTGGGCACTGGTAACTTTGCCAAGAGCAGTTTCCATGAAGTAATAAAGAATGGAAAAGTGGGTGAAAGCATGACTGAGTGGGCACAGGAAGAGAGAGACGAGAGACAAGGAACTGTGGACAGCAAGCACTTGAATGATTATTCAAGAGTGCTTGGCACAGAGAAGAAAAGAATGAAGCAGCACTCGTGAGGGAAGGATGGAGAGAATTTTATTTTGAGATGAGATATCGGTATGTTTGATAATGGAAATTATATAGTCAAATGACGAAGGATGATATTGTAGGAAAGAGGAGTTTTTCTACTCTTTCATCTATTTCTGAGGTAAGTAATATTTGTAGATATGTGAAATTATGCCACCCCTTGGGTCTCTGGGTAAAGCCAATGTGGTGTGATATTATTATTATTTTTTGAAAGTAGGATTTATTTTTTATTTTTTTGAGTTGGATTTATTGAGAAAAGCTTCTAGAGTGGGAGGGGACCTAAGGGGGTTGCCCTGATATTACCTTTTAAAAATATATTGCTAGATTCAGTTTGCACATCTAAAGAATAAAATTTTATTGTGTATAGTTAAGGTATACAACATGATATTGTAAGATATATATACAGTAAAATTGCTACTACAGTAAGTTCTCACTTAACATGATCAATAGTTTCTTGGAAACTGTGACTTTAATCAAAATGGCAAGGTACAGCAGGTCCTCAAATAACATAATTTCCTTCAATGTTATTTCACAAGAATGTTGATGAGAAAAAAATGATTTTGTTATTCACCCTTATCGTAAAGTCTCAGTTTCCAAGAACCTATCAATGACTTTCAGTGACGGTTTACTGCAGAGTGAAACAAATTTACATATCCATATCTCAGTTTGCACATTTTAGAAAAATCTTTGCATTCATGTAATAGGAAGATTGGCTTTAATCTTCTTTCCTCTATTATTGTCTGATTTTAGGATACAGGCTACTCTTAGTATCACCAAATAACTTGGAGAGTCCTTCCTCTTTTGTTGATTTCTGAAGGAGTTTGTGTAAGAGTGAAATGATCTGTTCTAAAAAGTGTGGTATCACTCTCCTATAAAACCACACTATCAAAAAGAAAGAGGCCAGGCTTGGTGGCTCAGCCTGTAATCCCAGCACTTTGGGAGGCTGAGGAGAGTGGCTGCCTGAGCCCGCAGGCAACTTGGCTTTGTCTCTACAATAAATGAAAAATTAGCCAGGCATGGTAGGGCACGCCTACAGGTCCAGCTACTTGGAAGGCTGAGGGGGAAGGGTTGCCGAAGCCTAGCAAGTCGACGCTGGGTGAGTGTGCCACTGCACTCCAGCCTGGGCGACGAAGTGCGACTCCAACTCAAAACAAAAAAGAAAAAAAGGAAAAGAAAAACGACACTCTCTGGTGTTTTCATTGTGAAAAGACTTCAATTATTCAAGTTTTGCTGTAATTCTTGGTTTACCTACTTTGGCATTTAAAGACATAGGCAGCTGAACTTGGTGGCTCAGCCTGTAATCCCAGCACTTTGGGAGGCCGAGGCGGGTGGATTGCCTGAGTCCGCGGGTTCGAGACCCACCCGGGCAACTTGGCGAGACCTCATATCTACAATAAATCACAAAAGCAGTCGGGTATGGTGGCACACACCTGTAGTTCCAGCTACTTGGGGCTGAGGTGGAAGGTTCGCAGGAGCCCAGCAAATCAAGGCTGCGGTGGCAGGGAGTGCCACTGCACTCCAGTCTGGGCGACAGAGTGAGACTCCAACTCAAAAAAAAAAAAAAAAAAGACATTGGACTACTCTTCTGGCTTCCACTGTGGCTGTTAAAAAGTCTTCTCTCATTCTAAATTTGTCTTACTTTGTAGTAAGATTCTTTGTCAGTAATCTTTCTTTTTTCTCTGGTTACTTTTACGATCTTATTTTCGGTGTGCTGCATTTTCCTTACAATATGTGTAAGTGTGGATTTGTTATTTATTCCACTTGATGCATGTCATGCTTTCTGTTCTGTGAACTGTCTTTTATCTATTCTGGAAAAACTTTAGCCAGTTATCTCTCTAAGTATTTGGCTCTCCTCTAGTATCCGTTTTCTGCTTCCATAATTTTTTTTTATGGTAGTACTCTCACTCCATATTCTACATCACTTAACCCTTTTCATATTTTCCATTTTCTTATCTCCCTGTGATATATCAAGGGGTGATATTTTTAGATCTTCCAATTCTTCTCTCTTCATATATGCCTAAACTTCTGTTTAAATCTGTGTTAATTTTTTTCATTCCAATAATTATATACTTTTATTTCAAAAAGTTCCACTTGTTTTTTCAAAACTGCCTTATAATTTTTCTATAGTTTGTGGTTTGCTCATTTTAAACTCTACCATTTGTGTAAACATTTTCATATATAGTTAACTTACATTGTGTATCTGACAATTCAAACAAAATCTTGAAGTTATTGAGGGTCCAAATCTCATTCATTTTTTAAATTGCCTCTTGTCATTGCCGATCTTAGTGAGTTCCGAGACAGGGTTTCACTCTGTTGCCCAGGCTGGAGTGCAGTTGCATGATCACAGCTCCCGGCAGCCTCAAACTCCGGGTTAAAGCCATCCTTTGGCTCAGGCTCCAGAGTAGCTGGGACTATAGGCACACACCACCATGACTGGCTAATATTTGATTTTTTTTTTTGTAGAGACACGATCTTGCTATTTTGCCTAAGTTGGTCTCGAAATCATGGGCTCAAGCAATCCTCTTGTCTCAGCCTCCCAAAGTGCTGAGATTACAGGTATAAGCCACTGCACCTGGCCTGATTATCTTGATTTGAGACAATCCTGGGCTCTAAATTGAGGACACTTTTCCCCAGAGAGGATATGCATTGATTTCTGCTCTGAGACAAATTTAGCCCTTTTTGGGTCTCTGACTTAATCTAGGAGTCTCAAGTTCAGCTCTCCCACCTACCTTCTGACCTAAGTCTTGATCTTCTTGAGCGGAGATGGAGGTACTGATGAATAACAGCACTTGCTCTCAGAGCCCTCCTGCACTTCAGGAATGCTTATGCTCACTGCTCTATTTAAACCCATTACCTAATTTTCACTCTTTGTAGATTCTCCTCTCTCTGAGTCCAGAAATGCAAAAGGAATTAGGTTTCAACCTGGTTCTAGAAGTTCTGCAGTGGGATGGTCCCTTAAAGCATCTTATCCACCATAGCATTAAAAGCGGAAGTTCAATCACTTCATCAACTATGCATTTGAATAGAAACTAGTGGCACTTGCTGATATATCAGATACTGTATGTCAGAAATCCACTTATGATGGTGAACAAACCATGACCTATTTTTCTTTCTCTGTTGATGTTTTGTAGCCATTAAAAACAAACTAGTAAAAGTATCAAAGCTAGGTAGTCTAACTGGTTCTGATTTTATTCAGAGCAAACGAAATCCACCTGTTTCCACTGTTGCTTAGGAGGATCCGTGTGTTAATAGTTCTAGCCAATGAGAGGTAGGTATGGGCTTCTGGAAAAGCATCTTTCCTGACCAAAAAGGATCTGGTATGGCAAGCATCACCCTTCTTCCTGCTTTGAATGTAAATATGTAATCTGGAATTGCAGCAGCCACATTGCAGGCTTACATAAGAAAAAACCTGGAGAATCAGATATGGCACTTACATCAGTGAGCTGGCATTAATGCAGGAGTAACCACCTACTTTTGTGAATTCTGTTATGTGTATGTGAAAAGGATCAACCTATTTGTGTAAGCCACTATTGACTGGGTTTTTTGCTTCTTGCAGCTTAATGCAATCCTAAGGGACCATGCCTATGAAGCAGTTTCTGAGGTTCTGTAACTTGGTAATAGTTATTCACTCAGAAAAGCTGGCTAGATCAATTGCAAATTTATAGCTTAGTTATTTTTCAGAGCTGGTCAATTCTAGGAATATAACAAAACATTGTAAGAAGTTGGTATATTATGAAAATACAATAAAATAATATGAATAAAACTATCATAGCAATAAAAGTTCCTCATGGGAAGAGATGACATCATACTCATTTTGAATGAACGCTTTAAACAGCCCAACATGCTGCCCAATGACCCAAATAATAATAATAAAAAAAGCACTCAGTTAATATTGAATTGAATGAATCTGAATCTCCCTTGTACATAACATGCGTTTTAATTTTTAAAGCAGATAACCAACTTCATTTAATTAATGAGAGCATTATGTGTATTCTCAGGTCAAAACTGATTAACATATGTCCTGAAATAATTATTAGCAAGTGATAAGGAAGAAAGTATTATATGTTTTAAGTACAGAGTTGGTAACATTTTATAGAAGGTCTGTAAGTATACAGCCATATAAATGATTTCAGAATATACTTTTCACTGGGTGCAGTGGCTCACGCCTGTAATCCCAGCACTCTGGGAGATGGAGGTGAGAGGATTACCTGAGCCCAGGGGTTTCAGACCAGCCTGGGTAACATGGTGAGACCTCATCTCTACAAAAAAATTTTTTTAAAATTAGTTGGGGCATGGTGGCACGTGCCTGAAGTCCCAGCTATTTGAAAGGCTGAGGCGGAAAGCATCACCTAAGTTCAGCAGGTCAAGGCTGCAGTGGCTGAAAGTGTGCCACTGCACTCCAGCCCGGGCAACAGAGTGAGAGTCCAACTCAAAAAAAAAAAAAAATGTATATATATTTTTCCTACCTCCATGACAATGATAAAAGCCAGCTTGGCTGCAATCACATGCCAATAGTAGATGTTGTGTTTATACTCCTGTGGGTGTCCAGGTGGGTTTCGAAAGTCACGATACCTGGAAACAAAATGGAGACAAATCAGGAGACAAATCTTTTTGGTCAAATATTGTAAACAAAGGCTCCATATAAAAAGTCATATTTGATTCAATGCTCTTTTAAATTGGACACCATATAAATTTCCTCCTAGAGCCCAATTCAGTAACAAAACCCTCAAATAACTACAGTAATACATGTAATCAGAGAATGATGGCAATAATGGATTCCCTCTTTGTAAAAAAGAATCCACTTTTATAAAAGAACGAAAGTTCTTATGTTTTCCCAGAGCTTTATCCCTGCTTTCTCAGAAGAGTGTAACTAAAATAATTCCTGTCTTGGGGATAATGAACACACTTATATAGTGGTACCATCAGGGTTCACTCAGCTGTGGGGCTGTCCCTCCTTATACAGAGTACTACTTGCTCATTATAATTTTTTTACCTAATTTTTTGTTGTCAGATATCAAGCATTACTGCTGTTAGTGTATCTTCTTTGGGTAGAAAATCTCTTAATTTTTTGCCTGCAATCTATTGGATCTAAAAGAGTTTAATTTTGATTAGAATTATTTAAAGTAAAAGCAAGCAGATTCAATGAAGAATTCTAAAGAGATTCCATTGTGTGACTTTGAAACATTTATTTTGGACTTATTTCTGGTTTCTTGGTTGTGTTATTAAGAATTTGAATCAGTGAAGTCTTTAAAGAGTTAGGCTAAATGAATTTTAAAGTCTCCCTTAAAAATCTCCTTCCTGGCCAGGCTCGGTGGCTCAGCCTGTAATCCCAGCATTTGGAAGGCCGAGGCGAGTGGATTGCCTGAGTCTGCAGGTTTGAGACCCACCTGGGCAACTTGGCCAGACCTTGTCTCTACAATAAATCAAAAAGTAGCCACGTGTGGTGTAGTTCCGGCTACTTGGAAGCCTGAGGTGGAAGGATCACCAGGGCCCAGCAGGTTGAGGCTGCGGTGGCCGGGAGCGGCCACTGCACTCCAGTCTGGGGAACAGAGTGAGACCCCAACTCAAAAAAAAAAAAAAAAAAAAATCTCCTTTCTATGATTGAGGGAAAAAATTTCTATAATCTATAGTCAAAAAATGTTAACAATTGGTAATTTAGCTAGTGTATACTGTCCACAGTTGAACTCATCACCCATTGAAATCAATGCAGAGAACGTCAAAAAATTTTTAGGGAATGCTGTTCAGTTGAAGTATTTACACCTCTCATCTTTGTTTTTGTTAAATGAGGGTGCTAGTTTGTCATTATTCAATACCTTCAGGTTGTGCATGAAGAACACATTAGTGCTAACAATGGAATTATCTTGGTTTTTGGAACTCCTGATATTTCTCCATTTCTAAGAAATAAGACTTTTCTGTGGGATCAGTCTATCTGTAAGCATTTAAACCGCTAATCTTCAAATCTTGCTTTATTGTTTGGTCTGAAAGTTCTTTTTTGACTGAAGAGAAAGCAACAGGAAAAAAAATGTCTCTGGCAGTTTGATTTAAACGACATCAAACAGAAATATATCATAAGAAATACCCATTTAAAGCTGAAGTGCATTTTTAAATGGGTGAAACAGAACTTGCCTGCACGTGGTATGGTTCCCAAGTCCAGAGTACGGGTTTCCCCTGCTTTTGTTTTTGAAGTCGGCGATGTTGAAGATGGAGAGAGTGTTGTTGATGTACCCCTCCATAGTGTAGGTAGTGTGGTCCCCATAGGGTGGGACGGAGAAGGACCAGTAATACACCAGGCGGGGGATCATGTCTGATGTGAAAGCAATGATCATGGCCTATATTGGGAGGAAAACAATAAAGGGGGAATTATTTTAGATCTTTTATAGCTACTGTTAGCAAATATGCCAGAATTACTATTTCCATTAAGCGATTTTTTAAAATTAAAGATTCATAAAACTTAATTCTTTCTTATGAAATTATGAAATTAGTAATATTAGTGAATATCCTATAATCTTTGAGCAGCAATTTTTAAGTAGAATGTTACTTTCCTTTGGTCTTTTAATTCTTAATTCTAAGGAAATGTCCAGAAGTCCATCTGCCATTCAAATGCAAAGGCCTGATAGTTGCCTGTTATATTTTTTAGACACGCATTTATTCAGAGTAATTGTAAATTAGGGTATTGTGGATAGCTCAAGAGATGTTTGCATATATTATATGTAAATTAGCATTTAAAAAATTATAATAAAATTCAGTCAATTAGAGCTCTACTTGATATAATTGTAATTTTTCTTTCATGGTTTAGGAGTTTATTAATTTTTTTTAAAAGACACAGGGTCTCACCCTGTTGCCCAGTCTAGAGTACAGTAGTACAATCTTAGGTCATTGTAACCTTTAACTCCTGGGCTCAAGTGATCCTCCTGACTCAGCCTCTGGAATGGCTAGGCCTTTAGATGTGTACCATCAAGCCCAGCTAATTTTTTATTATTTTTTTATTTTTTCAGAGTCTCATTCTGTCACTCAGGCAGGAATGTAGTGGTGCAATCACAGCTACCATAGCCTTGAACTGCTGGGTCCAGATGATCCTTTGGCCTCAGCTTTCCAAGTAGCTGGGACTACAGGTGTGTGCCACCATGCCCAGCTAATTTTTTAATTTATTGTAGAGACAAGGTCTTGCCATGTTGCCCAGGCTGGTCTTGAACTCCTGGGCTCAGGTAATCCTTTCACCTCAGCCTCCCAAAGTGCTAGGATTAACAGACGTGAGCCACCAGTCCTCAGCTAATTTAAATAACTATTGTAGAGATGAGGCCTCGCTATGTTGCCCAGGCTGATTTTGAACTACTGGCCTCAAATGATCCTCCTGCCTTGGCCTCTCAAAGTACTGGGATTACAGGTATGAACCACCATATTTGGCCTAGAAGACTCTTTTATAGATGTAATACTAAGGTCAGTATTATAAAAAATAATTCGGCTTTATATACTTCCTTAGAATAAATAATCATCCCCAAACTTATTTTTTTAATCATTTGCTTTTCATAAAAACAGAATATAAACTGAATAATAGATTTTCTTTGATCTAAATTGAAATGACCTTCAAATTCAATTATTTCCTCCATAAAATCCTGACTTGTTTAGGTAAGTCAATCCCATCACTGATTTATTTTTAAACTCTCAACATATACTTAATAAAATCTAGGTAGCAAAAAATTACATTGGGGTTGTTCAAGTCCCACTGTCAAACAATAATGTCTGTTTAGTTAGATCTAGTGTCTGAGTCTCTAGACTTACAAATGGTTAAATGAATAAAGATATAAACTATTAAGTAACATAAAGTTTAGTATATTCCTAGATTAAAGAAAAATGGGTCAATCATAAACCTGTATATGTGTAAAGCTATTATGAATTTTCTCTAAAATCCTTTAATTTGAGCTTTAAACTCTTCAATGTTTAAAACTGGTTTGAAGGAAGGCGAAAGATTTTTATTTTAAACTAAATTCAATGTGAATAAAAAGCCAAATGATTCTGTCATTAACTGAAACAGAAAAACAGACATATTTTTGGCCTAACATGATTTTTAATAGTATTTATTGGAACATATGGTTTAGACACAGTGAGACCACAAACCAACAAGCAACATCTCAGGCAAAGCAAGAAAAACAACTAAGGGGCATTTCTATTGCAAAATTTCCCTCACTAGAACCAGCTCTGTCATGTCCTCTGATGTGAAAAATCTGTGTCTGTACAAGTATGTGTGTGTCCCTGTGTGTGTATGTCTGCCTGTCAGTAGTGGCGGTGAGGCAAGACTACTTTGCTTGTTTCCAGATTTCAGTAGATTAAATTTTCCTGTTTTCATTTAACTCAACTATATCTTTTTATAGAATCACCTGCAGATGTGCGTCAGGAAGCTACAAAAATTCCAACGAGGAAGATAATTCTCTTGTCTTCTGACAAGATACTTTTCTCCTCTTGAATTGAGCTGCTCTGAGAGACAAGCAGCAAGGGTACAAATAAATGCAGGGTGCTTCATTTCCCATGCTGTTCTGCACACAATTTTCCATTTATATCAAAATAAATTAAAATTGGTCATCAATAGCAGATGCTCTGGCATGATACAACAATGTCAATTCAGCTTATTTATTGAACCAGCAGCTTTAAAATGAATGATGTTATACCAAACTCTTGCTTGATGCCCACTCTCATCCCTGGTGCCTCTTTTCTCCTCCCTTTTGTGAACATTAGGTTGTAGAGACACAAATATGGTATTGGAGGGGTTGAGGTTATACATGTGAGGGGATCACAGACACACATTTGATGCTTGCCTACATGTGTATGTGTATGTACACCGCATCTTAGAAGTGTAACACATCCTAATAATATGGAAAAAAGGACTGTCAATAGTTTAATCAATGTCACAAATCTAATAAGCAGTTTTGCTAGGGTAAGTTATAAGAAAAAACCATTATTGGATAAGAACCAATAGTACCAATTAGCTGTTGTGTGTCTGTACATACACACACATGGAGGAGCCTTGGAAACAGCCAGTCCTCCATCTGTGCTAATGGAGTGGAGCCATGGCATGGCTACTGGCAAGAGGTACCTAATACAATCATACTGGAAGGCTGGGGAAAAGGCGAGTTTGAGTCCATTGAATTTTCTGGTTAGCCGAAGGCCAAACAAAAATGCTTTTAGTCTCCAACTTTGCTGCTAAAAATGTTCTTAAAGCATACAAGCCCACATTCCTGCCCTGCTCAGTGTAGTATAGCATATTGAACATGACAGACTCATTATTTTATGACTGTGGAACTTGAAAGGCCTCACTGTCAGATTTCTGAACATCAGTCTTCATTTTGTAGTACAGGAGATGCTGAAGGTGCAGGCTATTTGGATGAATGGTAGCTGACATACTCTAGCAGTTGGTTTTGTGTGTGATGTGCAACTTTCTCCAAAAAGTAGAGCTAACACGCAGTTCAGATAAGTTGAGGGTTCTGGGATGTGGTGGTGACAGTTGGGTTCCAGAAGAGTTGAGTCACTATTGGTGACGATGATGAGTAATGAAGATGATAAAAAAACAGCAGTTAACATTCAATAAGAACTAGGCTCTATGCATTCCATACATTCACTCACTGAATTCCCTAACTGCTCTTTGTGGTATGTACTATTCTTATAACATGTGGCAAGGAATCACTCATTTTACAAATGATAAAATGAGGCCCTGGAGTGCCAGGGCCTGGCTCAAGACTGCATAGCTCAGAGCTGGAGTGCTGGGAGCTAGAGCTCAGGTTTACCCGACTCCAAAGCCTGCAGTGCTCAGTAACTTCCCTCATCCAGAGCTCACAGGCACCTCTGAATTCTGCTCTGTTTCTGCAAGTGCTTGTGGAAAAAGGCTAGGACTCAGGGCAAGTGGGGCTTAAGACATTAAAACCAGGAAATCACTTTGTTGGGGAAGATGGACTAGGAGTGAAAGTGCCAGTTAAAAGTGGGGGAAATAGCTGAGTGCAGTGGCTCACACCTGTAATCCCAGCACTTTGAGAGGCAGAGGCAAGAGGATTGCCTGAGTCCAGGGTTTCAAGACCAGCCTGGGCAACATGGTGAGACCTAGTTTCTACAATAAATCAAAAAAATTAACTGGATGTGGTGGTGCATGCTTGCAGTTCCAGCTATTTGGAAGACGGAGGTGGAAGGATTGCCTGAGCCCAGCAGGGTGAGACTACAGGTGGCCGTGAGCGTACCACTGTACTCCAGTTTGGGCAACAGAGTGGGACTCTGTCTCAAAAAAAAAAGGAGGAAATGGTCCTGGTTTTAAGGGCATTTCAGGAAAAGAGGTCCTCTGATGGGTTGGCTTGAAAACTGCTCCAAGAGCTCCCTGTTGGCCTGTGCAAAAACAAACAAAAACTGGTCCATAATCTAACTGGTCCACAATCAATGAATATAGGCTGTATGCAACTGAGTTATGTCCCCTCATGGCTGGGAGGCTGGGATACAGGCAGGGCATGAGGCTGTTCAGTCAATGACTAGCATGCATCTAGCAACCTTGGATGGAGTGGGAAAAGTGATGAAACCCACCTTGAACCTATTTCTTTTAAGAACCAATGCCCCGGAGACAAGCAAGGTAACACAGGAATTCATAAAGTAATAATACTTTATCATCAAAATTAATATTTTAAGTTGTTACCTTTGGAATAAATAGTAAAGTACAGAAGAATGTATTATTTTAGGATCCTTAAACTCTAAATAAATAGATTTCTATCTACATTACAAAAACGAAAAAGGATAACTTTTTATAGTTATATGAGGATCAAAAGTATTAGTACTTATTATTAGTATCATTACCATATCTCATATTGAATAAAAACTAGCAAATGAGCAATAACAGTACCTGTGTAGGAGGTCTTGACAGTCAAAAATAATAAAATGAAAATACATTTAACAATTAGTTATATAACAAAAAGACTGTTTATGTGGATGATATTCTTAGCATCTTTCTCCCTTTAAAAAATAAACACGAAACATTTGATTCCTTAGGTAGCAACTCTAATGCATCTTTGGGCTTTCATGGTCTCTACCCTATAAAGTCTTGGTCTACTCACATTGGTCACCACAGCCAGAATTGCTATTCCTTGCATGATGGGCTGCCACGCTCCAATGTCTTGTGTTTTCTCTGGCACCAGGCGTCTAAACTGGGTGGTCAGTTTCCAGGCATCCACTCTTATTTCCAATATATTGTTCACGAGAGCCAACAGAGGGGCCAGTGGAAAAGAGGCCACAAACAAGGTGACGAACCCAAACTGAATAACTGTCAACGGAACGGACACACATCATGGAGTGATGGATGGATGGATGGAAGGACATTATATTTTCCTTTACTCTTGAAAGAGAAAGGTTACAGAAAACCAAATCCCGAAGAGAAGACACATCCGTGGTAAACAATAATTTAATGTTCAGCAGTGAAAGAATCATATGAAACAGATATGAAATCTCTGGAAAGAACACTAATTATAGCCTGTTTTTCATATGCATACACTTAATAGAAAAAACATATTTAAAAATCTTGAATCAACCAGAATAATTTTCCAGTAATAAACTTGAGACAGTTTAAGCATACTATTAGTTCTCAGTAGAATGCTGGAAGATGATCTGTGATTTAGGATATAAAAAAGAAAAATACTATGAAAGTATTCAACAAGTTAAATGGAAATAATAAATGTACCTTTGGGAAGCCTATGCATAGAGAACTCTGGAGGAAATACGCTAAAAACAAGCAAATGAGTGAGCTCCCCTGAGTTTGCAGATGCAAGAGCAGTGTGTTCAGCGAATTTGATATCGCTACAAATCACAGAAACATATGTGATAAAAGCATCTTAATAAGTCATAATATAATCCTTCTTTAAGAATCTTTACCTTAGAGTTGTTGTGATCCATGTGGTCATAATAAGTCAAGATTCAACTGGTAGCTTAGAAATTCTCTTGCCCCTGTCTGTAATTTACATGGCCTTACTATAAATGGGGCAGAGCAGAGAGAGATTTGGGGGGTAAGCAATACCACAGGCAGGAGGAAGTAAGAAATGATAAAGCCAATGATCTAAAAAAGAAAACTTTCAGTTTAGAACATATCTCCTAACTGATAGGCCTTTAGAGAAAACATGTACACATATGTAACTAAGACCGTGGATGAGAAGAAAACTTACAGCCCCATTAGACCTCTTGCTCAGATAAGGAGCAGGGGCAACTCTGACCAGGAAGGGCAAGGCTGTGGAGGGTGTGGCTTGGCAGGAGGATCTGGCATCTGCTTCTGGTCTGAGAGGCCAAGGGCATGTTGCAGAGGAGCAAACAGGGCTTGAAGGATCTGGCAAGTTCCACAGGTCAGGCAGGAGCGGTCATATTCAGAGAAACCAGACAGGCAAGAACCAGAGTTGGTGATGCCATAGAGTCAGCAGCAGTAGCAATGAGCAGTGATGTCAACGTCTTTGTCTATGACTCACCTAACCCTAAATTAAACTCATCAGCCTATGGGGCCAGACAAGTAACTGCAATGTGTGGAGAGGGTCAGAGCCAACTGTGGTAAGCTGTCAAAGTGCGTGTCCTACTGAAAGCAACAGCTCACAGTTGCCAGGTAGAAATGAGGGCTCAACGTTGCCAGACCTCCTGACTGTTCAGGAGAAGTCAAAGGTTAGAATTATATTAGCAATAAACTAAGCTAATCATCCAAAAAGAGAAAAGACAACAAAACCACAGACCATTTAGAAATAAGTTAGTGAGAAATGTTAAGACCGCTGTGATAACTAACTTAAGGAAACACAAATAAGGATGAGTGAATGGTAGGATGTGCCACACTCTAGATTGGGCAGACTCAAATCGAAGGACATATCAATTTTTTCCAAAAAATGATTTTGAATTATAATGTAAATTCAGTTAATGATCCCACCTGGATTTAAGAAAAAACAAAAACAAAAAAACTGAAAGGTGATGCTCAGGTTCTTTAAGAAATATAAACGAATCAACAGGTAAAATAACGAGAAGGTATGTTTGCATTGACAATATTAGGATAATCTGAGAAAAACAGAAAAATAGGACAAGCTCTACAAGATATCAAAGTATATTATAATGCTCTGGAAACTGAAACAGTTTAGAATTAGTACATGAATAGATAGTATGAATGAAACAGAATGGATTGTAAGAAGAGATGCAAACATTCATGGGATTTTAGCATATTATAAAGCGATAATTCGAATCAGCGGATTCAAGTATTGTAAGCACCAGAAAAACCCAGACATGGTATAATTTGTCCTGATATTCAAATGAGAAGAACTTTACAAGCCACTTTTGAAAGCAAGAACCAAATTTTAAAAGACCAATCAATTCAGCAAGGCAAAAACACCTATTATAAAAACAAACAAACAAAAGCCACTTGCCTGAAACTTTTTCATAATCCTATATTGCTCTCTAATACTGTCAGTGATTTCCTCAGCACCTTACAGTCAAGTCTCTTGAAGGAAGTCCCTGGTTATTTCTCCACCTCACTACTTCTTGGAAGCCCTCACCACTGCACAAACCTGCTCTTGCTGACTAGGTATTGAAAAAGCCCATGCACATTTTCAATACTGATTTGGTTGATCATGTGACACGGCCAAACATTTCCCTCTCTGTGGAATATTTTTCCCACTAGTTTTTGTTTTACTTAAATAATTTTGAAAAGTCAAGTTATATATTAAAAAACAAAACAAGCCGGGCTCGGTGGCTCAGCCTGTAATCCCGCGCCGTTGGGAGGCTGAGGTGAGTGGATTGCCTGAGTCTGCGGGTTCGAGACCCGCCTGGGCAGCGAGACCTCATCTCTACAATAAATAAAAAAATCAACCGGGCATGGTAGCGCATGCCTGTAATTTCGGCTACTCGGAAGGCTGAGGCGGAAGGATCGCCGGAGCCCAGCAGGTGAGGCTGCGGTGGCCGGGAACGGCCACTGCACTCCAGTG